AGCGAATGATGCAGAACGAAAACTAGACGCCAGGCTCACTCACGTGAAAGATCGCACGACCTACAGCGGGGGGGGGGGGGGGACTCTTCACTTCGCCAACTTCTCCAAACTATCGTGCGCACTCTCTCTAACTAACGGTAATGAGGGTGCGCTCCACAGAAGAACACGGATTGGAGAATAGGTTTGCTGTGGTCTTGGGGCCCCGGGGCGGGCGTGACTAGGGAGGAGAACGGATCATCGAATTGGAAAATTGTTAAGTTGTGGCAGTACCAGAAAGGCAACGAGGAACACCGGAGACTACTGGGAAAAACAGAAGCTGGCTCTGCCTCATGTTCCCTAGAAATATAGGACAGTCCATAGGTCGGTATGTAGCGCTATTTTATGATGATACTTCCAGTTGGGCCGACAAGGTTGCGGGCATGTGCGCTCTCGCCGAGCCTAGAATTTTTGGATTTCCTGTTAGGCATGCGGTTAGGAGATATGCGGTTATAAAGCATGTGGCTTAGTTATGTGTGGTGAGTAGGCGCGGGTTCGTTATATTGCAGATTGATGAAAATGGAGTTAAAGGGAGTGGTTGGCCAGGATCATAATCCGGGATTGGAGGTGCCTGATGGGTACTTGTGAGTCTCCTGCATTAGTTTCTGTTTCCGTCTGCGGACACTAGGGTTGGGGGATTTAGTTAGTAATATGCCGGGTCGGTGCTCAAAGGATAAATGGAATTCATTGAAACTTTATCGGTTAGACCCACGACCTCGGGATTTGGAATGGTGAGCCCAATTTACAGGCCTAGAGCGAAGACTACGAGTATCAGGGGAGGAATTCATGTCCGTAGCTAGCGGTTTCGACAAAAGGTCAGGTTGGACCGAGTGGGAGGCTCCGGACTACATGGACTTGGGGTAAAGGGGCTCGTTCGAGATGTGTGCGTCGAACATCACAACGAGTGATTTTTTAAGACTACCATTGTTTTGGAAGCTTATGCGTAATGCCGGTACAGTACCTCTCGGAGATTTCTGATGAACCCCTTTTTCATCACCTTTCATCCGCCTGATGATATAGATTTCGATTCTCTTAGGTACTGACAATGACCCACATTGTGACAGGAAGAATGGCTCGGGGACTCACCACTAGGTGGGCCGGGTCCGTCTGATCCGTTAGGTTGTCCGGGTTTCATACCCCCGGACCCCGTCCAACCCAATAAAGAGTGATCTTCCATTCAACCTAAAGCAGCCTAGATCCATTGAGAGCCTTAACTCCAGTATATTAAAATCTTATTGTTGAGTGGAAACAGTAAATGGAGTACCAGTATAGTGGCCCAGGTCATCATTTTGTAGAGCCGCGCACTGATCTACTCTAAAGAATTTTATCGGGAATGAACAACAGTACCGCCCGTCGCTGCCGTCGCTGCCGTCACTCACAGCCTCCAAAAATTTAAATATCCGGTAACGGGCCCACAGCAGACCTCCCCCACCTGGCGTTCGCAAAATCCAGCCTTCTTTCACTCTTCAACCACTGCTTATCATCCCTGGTCCGTGGCACTATGAGAAATGAGCGATGTGAAATCAGTTCTCGAGCAGTCCTATCGAGCTACTTCTATGAGTTTTTCCTTGGATAGTCGTAGTGCATAACAAAGCCCACAATCTAATTTGTAAACCTCGAGCTCACCTCCGGGTTCCCCCTTTACAAATATCACCGTGGGGGTACCTCAAACTCCGGTTACGGTGGGGTACACGAATTAAACTAAACTTTTTTATCACCACGGAGTGGGCACCCGGCCGGAAGCCAGGGAAGGCGGGAAAGTCCTCTCCTCTCATCACGGGTATTAAGGTCACCGTAGTCCCACAACCTAAGCTCAATTATGGCGAATACCCCGTTAGAGTCCAATTCGGAAAATGGTGGATTAATAATTGCTAAAATTTCAATTCTACTCCTGACAGATTCCGCCAGTGTATGTGATCGCCGCAAACGTACCCAAGGCCCCGTAGTACCGGGCACTAGGCTATTTAGCACACCTGCGTGATATCCATTAGGAACAATCGTCAAAATCAAAACGCAGGACGGAGAAGGAGGGCGCATTTCCCACAGTGAATCAAATTGTCTACCAAAGGGGCAGTAGTAGCTAAATCGAGGAGATCAAGGAAGAGTACCGCAGATGGAACGTTATACGGGATGACAAGGTGACTAAATTTCCTGCACTGTTTTTTGAGTTATCAATTAAGCCACACTAAATTCTCCTTAGTCTTATTTTAACTAGAGCTCAAAACAACGGACTATCCTCCTTCTAACTCGCTTTAATCACTGCATATCTCCACTACATCTTTTCACAAATGGCCCGGACGGGTTTGTTGGGTTACATTTCATTGGTTTGGGTTGGGTCATGCTGAACTTTGACCGGGCTTGGGTTGGGTCGGGTAAGCTAAGTTTCAACCCAGATTGACCTGTTGCAAGGCTTGCCTCGGATCAATTCATACAGTGGAATCTTGGTTTCACCCGAGAAAATTCTACTCACTATTATGCTATTCGAGTATTAGTAATAGTACCTATGGCTGATGACTTGATCCGGTGTCAATATGGCGATACACCATGGGGGATAGACAAAGAAGAGTAGAGAACACAAGTCTACGACAAATCAACCCCCCAAGAGTAAGGAAGGTATTTTTGTCTCTACAAGAACGATGCCCGCGAACCTACAGCTATGTCCTTATAGGGCTTAGGAGATGGGAGAGAAAGAAGCATGGAAAAAGGTGAAAAGGCGAAATGAGCCCCAAACCCGGGACCCAGGATACGCAGAGATCAAATCCAACCGAGAACCAATAAATAGGTAAATCGGCTTGACACTCCCGTCCTTTCCCGTACTTCCTTTATAGATTACTGCCACCTCCAGAATAATGCTCTTACTGCTTCCATCAGGAGGTCTATTAACAACTTCACATATGGATGGCAAATACAGACATCCCCAAAACCTAGGCCAGAGAACCCGACATATATAAATTTACTATCCCGTTCTAATATTGAAGCAAGATAACAATAATAATGGGGATAAGGATGATAATAGTAGCGATCAAGGTATCAAGCAGCCGGGGTGCGGAAAGATATATGGGAATATCCGAGCCGTAGCGACAGCTTCCGTGAGCACGAATGAGGGGGGTTGTTTTGCAGTTGTGGGAATGAGTTGGCAAAGAAATAAGACCCAGGGGTAAGGGAAGTACAGAGGTCGGATGGGCACAGAAAGTAGAGCTGGATTTAAGCTTGTACTGTACTTGTTATAGAAGTGGTATTATCAGGGGAAAGGCTGAGATTTCCCGGAGAATCCTGCGGATGTCTGGTTCGGACCATATCACAACAACTGCCATTCACATTAGAGAAATCTGTACCCTGAGGGTGAGTACGAGCAGAGTGCTGCAGGGTTGTAGTGGAATACTAGTGGCGCTAGGTATGTAAATGGGAGCGGGGGTGTCCGGGGCAGAATTCCAAAGAGTCAAATCAAGAGGGTAGGAATTAGGGGGATAGGAAAGTGATATCTCAAAGAACGGCCATCGGCGTAATAATCAATTGCTTTCAAGTAATTGAACTATGGACGTTCCCATGGCTATCTAGACTACTCATACTGAAGCGCGTAGGCAACATTCAGACCCCCTGCTCTGCACCATATTTTAGGAGAAGCTGCACAACTGAGTCATTCTCCTTCCGTCTGGCTGCTTGCAATGCATTGCCATCAAGGCCCCCCTGAGCATTCACATCTGCCCCATGCTCGAGGAGAAGCCGCACAACGGATTCGCTCCTGCTCAATGCCGATACCGCTGCTTGTAGTGCATTGCCACAACAGCCGCCCTGAGCATTCACCTCTGCCCCATGCTCGAGGAGAAGCTTGACAACCGATCTGCTCCCGTGCAATGCAGCTGCTTGTAGTGCATTTCCATAATAGCCACCCTGAGCATTCACCTCTGCCCCACGCTCGAGGAGACGCTGTACACCGATGCTATTCCCCTTCAATGCAGCTGCTTGTAGTGCATTTCCTTTCCCGCCACCCTGAGCGTTCACCTCTGCCCCA